GATCTTTATAATAGTACAGTAACGTAATTTCAAAGGGCAATATATACCGAATATCACATCATTTTGAGTGATATCATTTTTATCGCCGAGTTGATAGCAAATATCAACACGAGTGAGCGAAGCGAATGAGTGTTGATATTTGATATCTACGAGGCGATAAAATGATATCACGAGAAATTATGTGATATTGGGTTTATCCCATGATTACAATCACCTTGTGATGTTCTGATCCAATTTCCAGGACATTGGCAGACAATATAAACTAGAAATTAGAATATCAATTGAATATTTGAAACACTTTTTTAACAATTAAAAGTAAATAACATGATATAGTTCGTCATAAATACCATTTTTAATCGTTAGTTAGCAGCCTTCTAATCAAATTATATACACAATCGTAATTCAATACACCAATGAAACTTAAAGAGACTAAATTAACGGACCTATTTTCTCAAAAGAGAATAAATTATCTGACCTAATTTCCAACAATATTGTGACGCGAAATGCAAATGTGATATCACACGGATATGCGTGAGATAAACGATATCACACGCATATGAGTTTGATAAACGATTTTCTGGAAAATATCACACGGATTTCAATAATATCAGAAATATCAATAGCAGTTATTGTACAGATAACACATTAATCGTGGGATAAAGTGAAATATTGGACCAAGGGCCGCAGGCCCAAGGTCCAATATTTCACTATTTTGCCCGCAGAAATGACGTTATTACTATTATTACCACCGTTAATGCCCAGGGCTGAAATAGCAAATTTGAAATAGAAAATCTTACGCACTGAACGATATCACTTTTCCCGGGAAACATAGCCGGGCGGATAATGTCATTATTGCCCGACTAAAGTCATTAACGCCCGACACAATATTGCTCACGTCAATATAGCAATTTAAATGCCTTCTCAACTAGTACTAAAGCCCCTAGAACAGGCCCTGCAAGGTGGTAATAATATAGCAATTTAAATGCCTTCTCAACTAGTACTAAAACCCCTAGAACAGGCCCTGCAAGGTGGTAATAATATAGCAATTTAAATGCCTTCTCAACTAGTACTAAAACCCCTAGAACAGGCCCTGCAAGGTGGTAATAATATAGCAATTTAAATGCCTTCTCAACTAGTACTAAAACCCCTAGAACAGGCCCTGCAAGGTGGTAATAATATAAAGTATTAAACAGTGTGTTTTAAAAAGGACTGAGTAATAATTAGAAAAGTATACTTACTCTGAATGGTTAGAACCAGATAAAGTTGATATAAAATATAGTTGCAAAAATAATACATTTTTATAATATTCTTTTGTTAGAGTCCGTGGTTTTGTTGTGTCCGTGGTTTTCTGCTTTAATCATGTCTACAGGCTGAGCATGTTATAGTTCAGTAATTATAAGCAGATAATAAATGTACACCACATATAAAAAAATTCGTTCACTACAGCGACATTTTAAACATTCTATATCTTATTCCTGGTCCTCGGGGCAGATCATAGACCATATGAAAGCATTATACTGTTCTATGATCATCGCATGATGTAAAACTAGTAAAGTTACCTTAGAACTACAGTATGTTCATTTGTTTTAATGTGAAAGATCCAATATAAAAGCATATGCTCCTCTTCCTACAATTTCTATAACAACCATTTGATTTTTTTGAATTAGCTGGCTTGGTAAAAGATACCATGCATATGAGAGCAAGATTTAATGACCATAATAGGTTCAGAATCATCCGAAATATATCTTCTGAGACTCTCTCGGAGTGAGACTTCCATCAGAACCAAAAGTATTGAACAAAGTGTAATTAATCCACGTCTGGTTAGGGTGATTTGAGGTTTATTTTGTCTCGGAATGGAATCAATCTTAACAGATTGAATAAACCACGTTGGTCACTACTTTAGATACACTGACCACCACTCCGATTCAAAACTACCGATGCCCTAGAACACCAAATGAGGCGAATCCAATGGGGATCCCAAAAGTCATTTGGTGTCATCGGTGATACGATTCGGAGGTTTCGCTCATGCAGAACTTGTCATAGGATTAAAGAAGTTTATGATTCATAGCGTTGTTTGTGGTTGGAAGTCAAGATTGACAAATTATAAACTTACTTCCCATTGTTCGTGGGTTCCGGACAGAAATATTATTGACTTCCCACCTTGGAGGCATTTTGGTTTTTAAGTGGAATAAATTATATTTAAGTCAAGATACATTTTTCAATTTGTTTTGTATACTATTCTCAAGTACGTTCAAAATTTGCTCGCAATCTAACATCATGTAATGTTGTGGTCGTAAACAAGTATTCAATTCTATACTTATGACATCCTGAGCAAATCGGTACCAGAAAGTGCATTTTAAATAAAATTAATCCTGATTGGGATTTTTTATACTTTGTTTTATCTATTCATATTTATTCCATAATACTACTGTTTTCCCAGGGAAATATGAAGGATTAAAAATCGTATTGAATCGTATTACATGAAAAAATCGTATTGTCCCCGCAAAAAAATCGTATTAGAGCGTATTACATGAAAAATCGTATTGTTCCCGGGAAAAATCGTATTGGAGCGTATTACATGAAAAAATCGTATTGTCCCCGGGAAAAAAATCGTATCGGAAAGTATTAACCTATTTTGGTTTCCCGGTTATTATCCCATCGAACGAAGTTCGGAGGGATATAGGGAACGCCTCCGTCCGTCCGTCCGGGCAATAACTCAAATACCGTTGGCCCGATTTTGTACACATATACCCAATGGGGTAGAAGTTCTGCTCGAAAACCGATTTTCAAACTCATTTAAAAATGGCGGCCATTTAGTGCCGATTTTACAGTTATTTAGGTAATGCATATACGATATTTGTATTGTCATCAAGTCTAATATATGATCAGACAAAGACTATATATCAGATAGTATTACATACCTAGCGAAGCATTTACGGAAGTCAATGGAGCCGAAGGTCGGCTATATATTTAAGGAATAAAGACCGATATTTTATGATGTATGGCGTATTCGAACATGACTGTATTCACGCCTTCTATAAACTGTAGACAAAGTCAACATTTCACCCGGGGTATATTCGCGAACATTGCCCCTGATAATACGTGTAATGTGTGACGTCATAACGGCGGACCGTAGTAATGGCGGACCATAATGAATATTCGAAACATTTTGGTGAGTTTTCATGTTCGAATTAAGAAATATGGACCGAAGAGGAGGGGTTATATTGTCGAATACACCCCGCAGGGCTTGGCACAAACGTTTTCTGTACCCCGAACGACCGAAGGGAGTGAGCGTTTCGAAAGCTTTTGTGCCTAGCCCTGAGGGGTGTATTCGACGATATTACACCTGCTCTGAGGTTTATATTACGATTCGAACATGAAAACTCAGGGTGTATTCGACTGGGGTGTATTCGACGATATAACCCCCGCTTTTCGGTCTATATTTCTTAATTAAATGCCTTCTAAACTAGCACTAATACCCCTAGAACAGGCCCGGCAAGGTGGTTGTAATATTTTTGTATGCATTCTTTTTACATAATCGTGACATTAGAACGTAGAAGCTAAGGCATAAGTTAAGTTAATGATGTTTAGATAGACAGTAGGCTATCATTTGGTTGGTGTTGCGGAGCTTTTGGAGGAGAGTGTGCATGTTGTATAGCCCCTTGATAAGAGCAAGCAACGGACAATTAGAATGGGCCATATTCTTCAAAGCTTCATATATTTACAAAAACCGAGATAAAAGTAATAATTTAGCCTGACACTCGGCCTTTCACTTCTTTACGTCATCATGTGAAACCCGACAAAACATTGTTTGAAAATACAGTAAAACCTGAGTATATTAAACATTTTTGCCGAGAAAAAATGTTTCAGTAATTTGTATAGAAGCCAGTAGTTTGCGGCGGAGGGTGTCCACTAGAGACGGTGTTCCCTAGAGAGACGGTTTTACTGTAAACAAGTTCGGAGTATGATAAACCGTTAATCTGACCAAGGTGAGATATAAGGGGTAGGAACAGAAAATTACATTAGGATTATAATACTAATTTCAACACAATAACTGTACCTCCAACCCCTGTCAGAGTTGGATCCTCGTGTCGTGATGTCATGAATGAAACTTTCCTTTTCAAATTGATCTGGTCTGTCAATATACATCAATAGCAGAGCTATTACATACTCAACACAATTGCAATCCCGGTTATGTCACATACAAGGTGTGGATAGTCTATAGGATTACAACTCCACGCCAAGATTAACAATTATAACGTTGAAACCGAAAGGGTAAAAATCTCTTAATCTGTCAAAATATTATTTTGTAATGGCTTACAAATGAATAATATTGGGGTTAAAATGTTGACGCTACGCTGGCTGCATTTGCCAGTTTTTCTTTCGCAATTGAAAGCCTTGGCCCAATGACAGCTAAGCTAGGAATAATGATTTAATTACTGTTTTCCTGGGAAAGGCCACTTTTGAATTAAATTACTGTTTCTTCAAATTTACATCAATTAACCCTTCAAGAATATTTAAATAAACTGTGTATGAGAGAATGAATTGGACGCGAAATGGTTAAATAATTATCCGGTTACCGCTTGGGACATTTCGAATTACTGAGACTGTTCGAGTTATTGAAACAAATGAGCATGTCGTAGTCATGATTAGAACACACATACCGCAATGTATCCTATGATTTGGCTACTGGAGGTCGTCTGATGATCGATCAGTAAACTTTTTTAATTAATGTGCATTTTAATCGCATATAAAAAGATGTCGCACAATTTCGTTTTGATTTCAGTGCTGTTAAACAAGAATATATTTTAGTATTATATGGCGTATGTGTAAGTTCTGTAAAATGTTTTTATTTTATGTTTTTCACGTATTCCTTTATGAGACTTATATTCAATAAGCGGGTGTGTTTCTGTATTTTGAATAGACGCAAGGATTAAAGGGCATTAAAACAACACTACACTCGCAAAACAAAGCCACCCGTTCTCTCCGGGCCAAAGTAAGCAGTCTAAGCCAAAGTTTCCACATAGCCATTGAAATGGAGAATAAAAGCAGAAGTTTGCTTTCGTGTTAGTCTGAATAGGGAAACAAACGGAGTGTTAGTCTCAAATGTCGGCAATATTCACTTTGTATCGTTTTTGTATGGAAAACACGGTCAAAATAAAACCACACGCATCTTTGTTTTGCACAGGGTTGTAGGTTATGTGGAGCAAATTGCGTTAAAATGTTGTTGCCACCATCTACAATGGATAAACGTTGGGAATGAGTAGGTAAATATATAGGCCTGGGATTCGACTCTGATATTTGTGTCGTCAGAATCATTAAAGACAAATATTGTAGTAAAATGTAATCAGCGTCAGTGACTGCTTGTAATTGTGTAGTTCCAGCCATGTATACAAGCAAGAGCTACACAAGTAAATACAAGGCTTCGCGTATTATTCCTGGCCTTTCTTCGGAAAGCAATAGTACTTGATATCAATAAGCCGCTTCCTGATTGGCTACCCGAGCTTGTAGTTGCCATGGCGATAGATTGATTGGCGTGAAGTGCCACGCCTTCTTGGGAACGATAAAATAAACACGAGAATACAGGCTGCTTTTGACAGTTAGGTATACAATTCTAACTATCAATGAATAAGTCGATGTTCTGAGTTGTAATATCCGTCACAATTTATAAGGAGGAGTTCAATACCGGAAACTAAAGAAAACAAAAATACAATTTACAATATTCGTCAGCAGATTTACTGAATAACAACAACTCGTGTTTGGTGAACGCTGATAGTGTTTGAGACATAATTCCATCGGACAAGAAGAATGAACTTTTAACATTGGATTTTTACTGAGAAGCCAGAGAAATCAATATTTGAAATGAGCCATAACCAGCCACTAAAATGTATATAGTTTAATTGCAGGTAGTGTCTTGAAAACCTTTGAAACTTTTATAAACAACCTAAACAAAACTTCAGAGGATATCAGTGGCATGTATTGACAAACATATCCACCTCAAAAATAACTTATTATTAGGGTTGGCGAACAAAAACAATAAAATGCAGAAAAAGAAAATAGTGCTATGTGCCGGTTGTGACAATCCTATTACAGACAGGTTTATTTTTAATGTACTGGACGCCACCTGGCACTCCCATTGTGTAAAATGTTCGGACTGCCACTCCACACTAGCGGACAAATGTTTCTCAAGGTCCGGACAGCTGTATTGTAAAGACGACTTTTTCCGGTAAGTATACGACTTTGCATTAGCTCGGGGGCTCTGGGACTAACCAATGGATTTTATTAATGGGAATTGGTCAGTATACTCACAAACATGACCAATGTCTTCTTAGCATCAAGTTTCTCCTCTAACGTAACCCCATATCAAATATAATGTTAAATAACAATGTATCATAAACTATCAATATAGTAAATTATTATCAGGTTAATATTTGATCAGTGATATTAACCTCTTACTTGGTATCTACAACTTTTTTACATGTGATCAACCTGAGATCAATCCATCCTTTTTATATTGTTCTATTTATTATATAGTTCTATCTATTCAGTTTATCAGTTATTTAATAGCCATGCATATTTTAATATTTAGAACATATATAAATAACCATGTCATCCATGAATGAAGCTGATATGCTGTAATATATGCATGAGACAAGCATTCACATTCATAGTTTTCTCAAGTGATATAGCATTTTTCATCGATGCTAAAATATACTTGATACTTTCTTTTTTACATAGCTTCTCAGATTATTTAACATGATAACAGTTTAATAAACAATATGATTATCAAATAATTATATTCATTCTAAACAAACTAAAGGAAGCAAAACAGAATAATGTTTCGATAGCTTGCGAGGCCAGTGCAATTTTAAATAAATAACATAGTTCTTAAATTCTTCTGTATCATTTATGGAGAACAACGGATGGAAAATTAGATACAACTCTCTCCTGATAATTTCAATTTTTATCATTTTCGAATTATTTCTGAAAATTAGACTTCACTTTTTTCTTAAACATGTTCAACGAACCCTCAGATCACCATGGAAACAATTCCAACTGATAATATTTATTATTGTAGTCTTTGTAAAGCACCAGAAAGGCTCACAAGATGGACCACTTGTTGTGAGAAAGTTTGGCTAATCCGTCCTACATATAATCTCATTTATATAAATATTACTGTGATATGAAACGATTAAAGCTATGTTTCTACTCGTATCAATTATTGATAAGATAAACTTTAAGATGCTTTGATATTGGAGCGAAAATTCACTGAATTGGTGTGATCTAGTGTAAGAATGTACCTAGATTAACAAACGGTGATAATCCCGTTAACACTTTAGCAGATTAACCTCAAGATAAGAGATCTTTCATCATTTGTATCCTCCTCAATGTTTCACTCGTGTTCAGCTTCATCTCAATTTCTCAAGTAACTTCCCACTTTAGTTTCAGAAATTCTCAGAAATTGCTTTTTGATCGTCTTACCGGGTGTTGAGAGATAACGTCATTTTCTCAGACTCGTCCCGATGAAACGTTTCTCTTAGCACATTATGAAGGGTGTTCTTAACACGCTCTCAGCAGATATGAGACGTATTCTAAGATTGAGATACATCTTCGTTCCTTACACTCCTTACATATCTTTGATCAATTCTAATGATTTTCAACAAAATGAAGTGAGCTCTGTATGCAACATTTTAATTTATTTGTCCAAAAGGACCACTTTCTATAACCATGCTATTCCTGTCTAAAAACTTAAAAACTGTCAGCTCGGAATCTTTTTTCCAATTTCAACGCTCATAGCCTCAAATCTGTTGAAATAATAGTTACAATTATAAATCACATTGATATTATAAACGAACAATATGTTCAATGCTATAGAATTAGTCATAATTAAATAACCTAACGCTAATCTAATTGTCTTGAATTTTCTTATGCCAAAATATTATCAAACAAAATTAATAGAATTCTTAACTAGAACGGCTGTAGGTGCAAAGGCTAATATAATATATTAGACAATCTAATAAACGGACTAGTAATCAGGTTAGCATAATGAAGTTTCATTCCCATATGAGCAAAAATTACTGGCAATGTAGAGTTATGGGTCTGTCATAAAACATTAAAGAACATCATTTTCAAAGGCCATTTATGAATATTACTGTCTTCTATTATAATCAATTATTGTATAACTACATATTGCTCATTGTATAATTTAATATATTTCCACATGATTCAGCTGATCAATGGTGTCAAATTATTGGTGAACGCATGTGTATATTGTTTATAGGAGTTCAAAAAAAATTAGCATGTGTGTTATGTATTCGTTCCAACAGACTAGAATACAATGCAGCACTTTGCAACATAACAAATATATCAAATTGCAAATATATCAAATCACAAAATATATCAAATATATCAAATTGCAATATTGCGTTACAAATCACAAAATAGAAAAATAAGAAAATGGCAATAAAACAACACATAGCAATCACGAATATATAATAACTTACCAAACATTTTCTCAACAGATAATTTGATAATGTTTGGCCTATTCATGAAGCTCACTGAAAATAACGCAGATGATCTCAGTGATTTAGCTTCCAAAGCTGTGCACAATCAGCTAGATGAGCCACGTGGACAGGTGGGCTCAGTTAGACATGGAAAGCATAGCAGTTGAGAATATTTCAGCAAAACTCTCCATACAGATATGTGAAACAACAACAACCGGCTTCACAATTGCTAGAAATAGTTCACTATTTGTTAGTTCATGCCACAAAGCATAGTCTGATAAAGATAACATTGGACACGTGCACAAGTTTGCTACAGAAAAAAATATAGTAAATAGGATTTTGTGTTTTTGGTAGTTTGAGTTGTATAATTCGCCATATGAAATAATCAAGAATGAGAAAGCACAAGCAAATGGTTTATTAGCTACGTTCGGTTAAATCATCAGAAAACACTATGGGGGAAACTAGAAAAACAAAAACAACATCCAACAAAATAAAGAAACAGTAGAAAAGGGGGAAGTAGTACTACGCCTTGATTTTTAGTCAAACAACATAAAATAGAACTCAACGACTAGTCTTGCTTCAAGACTGTGCTGTGTTAGTGAAGTTGAAAAGTCTTGAAGCAAGACTGATCAATATCAAATTCAAAAAAGCATGTAAGGCAAACTTCATATGTCCAGCCATTTATACTACTCTTAACGTCTCCATTTGAAGTGAAATGCCATATCAACAGTCCTAGAACAGATTGGCCATGCTTTCTCTCTCAGGCTACACCAGGGACGAGAGGCAGGGAGACGAAGCTCTCTTTTAAAGAAGAAAAATCGAAAAAGGCGTGCTCAGGTTATATTTGCGAAGAAATTGGAATTCGGAAGCAGTGTTTAGCTGGTTATCATGACGGGGACCTGTCTTATCACAACACCTAATAATGTGATTGACTTATTCCACTTATCATACAGCCAATATTTATTTAAATACACTTATCCAGAACCAAAGTAGTTCTTGTAAAACATTCCATAAAATCAACCAACACGATATACTTTCCTTCTCAGACGTCTGTGTTTAATAACCCAAGAGGAAAATGTCAAAGTGTCAATGTTTTACAATTGAACTTAGTGTGAAAACGTGTGGAACTGACAAGGAATAAGTAAAACAGGCATCTATTGAGAACTCTAAACTGTTTGAAAACGTCAAGACACTATGCAATTCATTCAATTTGTGTGAGGACAGCGTGGAATGGGCATCGTTGCAGATAATTTTTCACACGTTTAGGTTTGAAAAGCTAGTTTTGAGGACCCTCAAAACCCCATCCCTGCATGATCCCCAAACTAGCCGTCTTAGTTTATTCATTTTAACATTTCCGAAAGTACATCGACACACAAAAGCCTCACTGACATGGACCCTTTAGAGTTGAAGTGCTAGAAAATCCCCTTGTATCCATAGACAATGGCATCAATGAGAAGTATTGTAGAGAAAATGTTAAACTTGACCAGTTCACCTCTCTCAGAGCTGCCACCAGGTATAGACAATAACATGGAATCTGTTTCAATGTGCTCTGATGCTTTAATAATACCTACGGATTCTTCAAGGAATCATAACAATGCCCTTACAGTTATGTAAACATCCTATATTATTGTTTACTTTTAATATTCCTTTATGTGCAGGGCTGGAATTGTGATTTGTTTTCATATGGATACGGAAATACACATATATTTGAGTCACATATAATCTCAAGCCCCACACTATAAAACTCTAACAAATATATATAAAATTAAGAGAGTTTAAATTTCAACTGAAAGTGATGTCAAGTGTGAGCGTTCGACTCCGTATGGATCCCTATTTCTTAAACCGCCCACTTTAATGCCTTATGTCGACCTCAGCTTGATACTACCCGAGGCTTTGTTTGTATTCACACCTCTCATAGAGTTTTGACAGAGGGATTTCAAAATATTTTTCAGAGCCACAACTCATGAATGGGTCGTTTAGGTTCCCTACTACGTCTGTCTCTGATATTGAACGTGTCATTTAAATATAACCACATAGGATTGTTCCTAGTTTGTCTCGAGACAGATCCACCTCAATCCAATGTAAATTATAAAAAGTGTACATTTTACGTAAGTACCCTGCCTAATCACCATTATGTTGTAATCACGTAAACAATCTTACGGTTAAGCATACAATTTTTGTTTTGAACAAAATTTTAGAAAATGAACTCCCAAATAACAATCAATTATGTAGCTGTATTTGTTTCATAATCAAATCACAATAAAATTTCCTGGATATCATTTGTATAATTGCATACCACTCCCATTCCTTTAGACTGTAATACCTTTGATACCCATTATAAAAAAGTATGAGTGTCATGCTAAAATGGAAAATAGAAAGAACATATTGTAAATTCGCAAGGAATAAAAAAACAAACATATCTAAATTCCATTAATCTAACCGAGAAACGTCAGGTCATTTTAAATATAGAGGGATATTGTGAATAGAATTGTAAGGGAGATATTAATGCACGAGAGGACAGATTTACGCACAGGTGTCCGTGTGACAAAATTTAAATAATATTCAATGTTTCATTTGGCACACTCCACGTGAGCTTCAGATCCAGCTAATGAAAGCGAAATTACACTAAATGTCAAAGTCAATCGCTCTCATGAAATATCAAATTTTGAATTTTATTTTAAACGAACTTCTCTGATTTTATAATGATCTTAACATCCATTCG